TGAAAATCGTAAAATAAGAAATAATAAAAAACTATTTACGATAGCATTAACAATACTATTTACATAGTTTGGTTACTTGCGAAAGAATTTTTAGTGTAATGAAAAAAATAAAAACTTAGCTGAGAACACCGTTGGTTCAAGATAGGTTCAGCAATCTTTCAATACTATATAGGTATTGAAAAAGATACATCGAAAAATATAAAAAGCGATGATATTTTGAATACCTTATTGCTGATACAATAGATATTTGTCGTAAAAATAAAATATTAATTATTTTTAAATATAGGTTATTTAGTGTTTTTTTTTAATATAATTTAAACATATCCATATTTGTAATGTTAATAAGTTTTACTTGTTCGTGGGAAGGGGGTATGGGGGCGAAGCCCCTGCGGGTTATTTTACATTGAATTATTATAATCTCCTCAAAAATTCAACCAAATGTCCGCCTATAATCCCCACGCTCGTTGAATATTGTTCTATCGCCTCCAAGTAAAATTTAATGTAATTGCATTGCCGTAGTTTCCATGGGTTGATTCGGACTATAAAGAAACAATCATAACTCCTCATATTTTGAATCACGTTTTATTCAACCGGATATAACGAGTTTGTATATTTGTTTTTGCGCACAGGGATTACGCGATCTTCCGCAAACCCATCTTTCGGCGTGTTTTGCGTAGTCGTATCGATGCTACGTTATTATATACAGGTTAGGTACCTATAGATACGATGAGTCTAATAATTTTTTGTCATCACAATCAATTTACTGTTAATCGAAAACATTTTAATCACCATGATTTTTATTTTCAGGATAGTATATTAATATTTTATTTGATGAAATTTTCAAAATTTTCTCCCACCATACGACAATAATTGTTAATACACATTATACATCACATCATTATTATAATCTATTTGAATTATGTACAATTAAATCTACACGTTTGTTGACCGATATTCATAAAAATATAAAATTAATAGCGAAGTTTTTATTTAATTTAATAGTACATAGAAATGTAATCTTTCGTCCGGCATAGAGTATATCTCTGTATCGTTATTAAAGCCCCGAACTCCGATTGGATGATATAGAAGATAATATTATACGGTGCACCAGAAATTGATTAGACGATTGTTGCGGGAATATTACGTATTCTGGTTATGCTTACGCGTAACATAATAATCTAAAATGCGAATCAAATTTATTTTTATTTCTATATTACGTACGGTATTCGTGCGGATATCAAACGAACGATATAGCAAACGCTGATATTTCAAACATTTCTATGGTCCTACGCGATTGTACTTTTCAGTTTGGTTATTCTTTTTTTTTTTCATTCGAACCACGATATTACGCATGCACCGAGAGAAATATACGGCAGCCGCATAGTATTAATAATAATAACGGCTTGCCGTTGGGATTGTTGTTATTATTACTATTAGTACTATACGAGTATACGTTCGCGGGCTTAAATTGGAAGTGCAAAATGCTGTGAACTGCGGTTCGTTTCGCAAACGGAAATTACGGGTCTCGAACGGATGTCGTCGCCACCGCTGAAGAATCCTTCGAGTTCTGATGCGATTCGAGATGTCAGCTCTTTTGATATACTGTAAATTACGTACAGTGATCGGAAGCGATGACAAGCGCGGCTTAACAGTCTTTGTCATTATATATTATCCTTAGTCCTGTTACCTACATACATATATACTGTAGATAGTTGTAGAAGGATGCATTGTAAAAACGTAACCTGATTTGGTGTACGGTGGATGTGTGAGTAAGATACGTGGGTGGAGTGTAGAAAGGAAACAAAATAATTTGTTCTCGGGATTTGTTGTTTTTTTTTTTAATTTAACAAAGACATGTTTCCAGTGAGTGATGCCCGACAGTTTAAATTATCGTTATGGGGTTTTACGACATAGTGATCGATAAACACGGCATGGAGATTGATTTTGAAATAACTACACATGTTACAGTATAATAAACACATCAATTTAAATTTGATTTTAATCTTCATACAAATATAAAAGGATCTCGTTGTTACATACCTACAATCAGGGGCGGATCCAGAGTCGGGGAACTGTGGGTCAAGCCATTTCAAGAGGCCATTTATTAGGGATGAAACTGAATTAGAAATTAATACCTTGCAAAAAAAAAAAAAAACACAATATGCTCATAAAAGTGTATAAGTATATTTATATATATAGAATTAGTGATATCACCGATAATGACTTATTTACGATTAATGAATATAATCTTATTTATCAGCGCAACAAACGTACGGAATAAAATATGATTTACTTAATTTTCTACTAAAACGATATAATTTAAAATATAAATTATGAATTGAAAAATTTTAAATTTTGAATATATATGGCATTCATTTTTCAAGTAACTCCGATAGGCCAACTGTCCAAGAGTCCAAATCAAGATCTAAAAAGAGAAAAAAATTTCCAAGAGGCCAATTTTGTCAACAAATATTAACTGTGGGTCAGCTGACCCCCTTAACCCCTCTAGATCCGCCCCTGCCTACAATTATTGTGTTACAATCGAATTGATATTTTTCCGCGATATATTTTAATCGATAAAACCTTAACTCTAATAACTACGAAAAGAAACAACATTATCATTACTTTATTACTTTATTACTTTTTATTGGAATAACGAATATTTTACTGAATACTTCGATCGTTCAAAAATCATTAATACATCGAGCAAACAATGATTATGCTATACTAATTGAATAATAATTTACACTTTATAGACTTGTAGATTTAACAAGCTTAACTTGAACTTTAATCAGTTACTCTAATCAGTTAGCTCGACGTTTTCTCAACGGTACAGCACACATGTGTGCAAACAAATTTTGTTACATATTAGTATTAACAATTAAGTAAGTATGACACAAGAGAATAGATTGAAAATCAAAAGTCCATGATATTTTATATAAATTTACAGTTTAAAAATGTAATTGACTTAATGGTAATTTACATTTGTTGTTTGTGCACCATCGCGACGAGCGTCGAGGATTCGCGAAGACCATCGTCCCCCCCCCCCCCCCCCGGAGACAAGCACCTAGCTGCCCGGGCCGTCGATCGCAGTGGTGTGTGCAGAAAAACTTGTTGTTTTTTGCGTGACAGGTTCGCTCTTGGCCGGCCGATAACTATTATGCCTGCGCCGCCTTTCTTTCCGTGTGTGTTATTTCTTAACGCTGATTCATTTTTGTTCGCGATTGTCGTCTGTCGTGCGTTTGATCCGCGACCGTTGGTTGATCTCGTGTATGTGTCACCGCGTGTAGTGTCAACGCGTCTTTTTTTAGATATTGTCGACCTCGTGGTCACTTTCGCGGCCTTGCGTCCTTACGCCTGGTTGATTGATGGACAGTGGTATTATGCCATTACCGTGCCCGTGTTTCACGAACTCGCTTTTGTGCATGTTAGACAGTTCCTCTTCGAGTGCGTTTCCCGTACGTCAACCTGTTTTCGGTTCGTCGTACGCGTCTCGTACGCCAGTAGTACCAACCTCGTTCCCCACACAAGCCATCCATCGCCACGATTATTGTCCGTTGTGGTCTGCCGGTTGGTAGCAGTTCTGATTGACGCTGCCCTCTAGAAGTCAGGTGCAGCGATTATCAGTTGGACCCTTATCACCACCACCCGAGATAAGATTGTTTTTATTTATTTATTGTCTGTAAACCTTAATAATAATAAGTTTGATTTCTTCCCAAGGGCATATTATTAATTGGTCTATCATTTCTTTGGCCTTTTGTTGTCCTTGAATATCACCATCTCCTCCTCTCACCATATTTCATAATCTTCTTCAGAGCGTACGTTTGCGAGTGTCGCGCGGCCGGCTGGCGATAAATATTTTTCAAAGGCTCCACGACGGTGCGTTCAAACATTTGTGGTAAAGTTTGTTTATAACTATTAGGTCGCGTAACTGTAATTAAATGAACTGCTACGTAGTTAAATTTGTTAATTTGCACTTATAACTTAAACTTAAACTTTTACGTTTAAAAATAATTTACAATGCATTTAGATCAACATCAGAGAGTAGGGTTGCGCAGAAACCAAAATTAATCGTATCCCATCGTAACACTACTTTTGGATAAAATTTAATTATCGCGTGCGCATCAAAGTTCTACTTTCTAGTTGATCGAGTACCTATAGTATATGTATTCAAATCCTAATCATATTACAAAGCGATTGGGTTGAACTCGATTCTTTTTTATCGCAAATAATTACTTTAACGTGAAGCGTGCCTCGGAAGCTCGGAGTCAGGTCACTTGGCAAACCAAATAATCATAATAAATACAAGCTTATATCGTGTCACGTGCTTTTAGTAAACAGTTGTAAACGTACATCCAGTATTTACTTTAGAAGTCTAAAGAGCGACAATCACTGTTGTCGTGGTTAGGTTAGGTTAGGTTAGGTTAGGTTAGGTTTTAACTTAACCAAATCATTATATTACCATATATTGTATCGATAAGTAAAATGTGTATTTTTACGATTTATAAAAATGTACCTATACAATCCGATGCTACCACAATTTAGTGTAACTGCATTCTAGAAATAAATGTATTTTAGCCAGTATTTTACCATAACGTATCCGACGTAGATTAATTTGTCACACAAAAGTATTTATTTTTTAAACTGTGAAAACGTAAAATTAAAATGTTTACAAACTAAAAATTGAAAAAATGTGAAAACTTATTATCACATTTCGATAATCAAGGTTCGTCTAATAACTTACTATGTAGAAACATATGATAGCATGAACATAAGAACAATAATTGTGGACATACTGACGTATGAATAGTTTTGTGTTATGTCGATACGTACCAAAAGCAATAAAAATAACTACTAATATATATCATGTACATATAAATAAAAAATGATAATAGCATTAAACCATATAAGATAACACGTCCAACGATAATCCAGTACATCAGTTGTGCATATGATATCTCGAGGTTTGATTTTAAACTTGGGTAACCGTGTGTTCGCAGGTGACCAACGACGTGGTGCAACACCAACAACAACCGCACACGTCGCAGCAACAGCCGCAAACGTCTCAGCAACAACCGCCGCAGCCGCAGCAACAGAAGCAGCAGAAAACGGTGCCGACCCCGAGCGCTCGCAGCCGTAAACGATTGGCCAAGGTGTTGGTGGCGTTGGCCGGCGTGTTCGTCGGCTGTTGGCTGCCGTACGCGGCCGCGCTGCTATACGCCAACTGGTGCTGCGACGACAACAATCGTCGGCGCACCGGGGTTGGCACGCCTGCCGCGGTTCACCGGTTGGCGACGGTTGTCGCGCTGTTGCTGGGCCACGTCCACTCGGCCGTCAACCCGGTGGTGTACTGGTGGCTGAACCGGCACACGATGCGCGCGTGCCCGTGGTGCTGGTGCGCGGGCGATCAGTTCGGCGACAACGACGACGACACGGTCGCTGACGGGTTCGGTTGCGGCGCGTTCGGCTGCGTGGTTGGCGGCGCTGCGCTGGCGTTCGGTTGCGGCCGCGGCGACCGCGGGTGCACCGACAGCGGCGGCCTCGACTGCGGCGGCGGCACCGGTTGCCGGCAATCGCAGAACCATACGCCCACCCGCTTCAACCGGCTGCTGTTCCGTCAGCCCAACAACCACCAGCGCAGCCGGCAACCGTCGTCCACCAACGAAGCGGCGCTGGGCCCGTTCAACCCGCGTTTCGCCACGCCTAAGAAGCGACCCCAACAGTTACCCGTCGTCAAGAACCCCGTCATGCTGTACTACGCGTGATCCCTCCCCGAGCCTACGTCCCGCTGGTAAACGGTATCTTGTCCACGGCCGGCCTGCGATCCGAGCGGTGACGGATATTCACCCGACTTTTATTGTCGGACCGCGTGGTTCAGTTCGGGAAGACGGGGATGGTCGCCCGAGCTCGACGTTTTCATTCCTTCATCGTTCGCACGTTTTGCGGCCATACATCCGTTCGTGCGGTCCTAGTAACCAACATCGACGTTAAGGCGACTTAACGTGACGTTTAAAATATTCCGGTCGATAGAACTGTATTACGGTTTTGGTTTTCAGTACCTTACCGATACTGTCCAATCTTACTTGAACCGCGCTCACGGTAACCGCACTGCTTATCGGTTTCTAACATTACTTTCCGCGTTCGAAATGCATCGCACGTTGAGCAGGATAGCCATCTCAACAACGGGACTTCCGACCAATTAGAACCCGATAGTAGATGGCGTGTCGCGGGATAGCGAGACCGACGAGACTATAAACGCATTTACCCCTTCCCCCTGTCGTTAGCATCAAAATCTACGTGTACACTTTCGGTACTAATCGTCAGTGGTAGCGTGATGGGAGTTGTATTGAAGCAGCGGCTTTATGACTTAAATTAAGTGGGTAGGTAGTATTTTGTGACAGAAAAGTGTATTACATAATTTGTAGATACATTTGACATAAAATACTATTACTAATTACTGTTACTGTTATTATTTTGTTTAGACCTGTTATTTTTAATATTTATGTACTTACAAGTACAATTGAACTCTGAATCTAAGAATTTTATTTATTGTGTATATTGAATACACATGTAATTGCTTCATTAAAAAATAAACTTCACGCCACCACTGCTAATCGTTTTAAATACTTTCCATGGGTTCGACACACAAAGGTAAGCACTAAATCGCACATAACAACTAGCCTAGTCGTTCCTTTCAACATTTATAACGTTCCGTTGTACTTATATTAATATTATTATTTGTTGTAAATGTGTTGCAAGACCCATATATATACCGTAAACGTTTGTAGCGCGTGGACATTTTATTTCATCTGTTCGTATATAATGTACAAATAAAATATTATCAATCAATGAGATTCCTACGCGTCCATTCCCGATGTTTCAATACCATATTAGTTACTTAATGTAGCAGATAAGTAAAATGTATATGTTGAAATGTTCAAGTATTTTGGTGATAAATCTATGACGGAAAAATAAATATAGATACTGATAATGTGGACATTCGATTGTCTTATATGCCAAAATAGGATATGAATAAAGTAAATGATGGCCGTTTAAAATAAATTTTCCAATAGTTTCTTTTTGTGCAATTATTACTCCATTTTCATAAAATATTCATATAAGACTTTACTCGACCAATATTTTATTATTGGCCTTGCGTATGGTTTTCAAGCCACACAAAACGCATAAAATTAATAATTTTATCAAAATAAACAAGAACGTCAACTGAACGAAATGTTATTTTGTTTTCAAGTATTTTGTTCTCTTTATAATTGTAAAAACTACAGACGGCACTAAATTATAGCATTTTCTGTGTCCACCAAGTCCAATTTTAAAACTCCAAAAACATAATGAAACTTTTACTTGGCTCGAAATGCCGAAATCGTTGAGAAAAAAATACTCTCCGAAATCGCGTCGCTAAGGTATACGTGAAATCTGAAAATTGCTGCAACGGAAAATTCGACCGTCGAAATTTCGGAAAATATTACAAATCCCGTATCTATCGGAATTCTGTTAGCGGATCATCTTAACTTTCGACCTTAAACGTAACCACCCTTATATTATTATTGTTGTCAGTATCGAAAAATGACGTCATGTCGCGAATGTAGGTTATATGCTCGTAAATTTTTTCAATGTACAGAGTACATACCGGTATATAAATAAAACAAGTTGGTTAAACGGAATCTTTTTGAACGACATTGGAAAAAATAGACGTCGGATGAAGTAAATATAAACATATGTAATCATATTGAAAACTATATCGTATACACTTTGTACATCCAAGCCCATAGTTTTTATCGTCGTATAAGTGAAAACTCATTCAACGGAAATTTCCAAATAGCGGACGTTCATTGGTGAATGAAAAAATGTTCAATACTCTTTCATTGGAAAACCCTTAAGTAACGAAAAATTGCATGGTATTTTAATTTTTTGTAAATTTAGAATAATAAATTGTGGAATTTCTAGGCCTACACTCTAAGTCTTATTTCATAACTACTCGTATTATACTTTTTTCAATCCGTCCAATTATTGAAGTGTGTGTAAATTAAAAATAAGAAGTCCACGGTAAGCAATGACAACATTAAAGGTTATATTGTATACACAAATACATTTCTTCTAACAAGATACAAAATAATTTATTTTTCTCTTGCCCAGTCAATTTAAAAAAATATCTTTACATATAAAATAACTTCACATCAAAGTCTTAAATAAGCTAAAATAATTGTTTTTTTTTTTTTTTTAATTTAAATTATATGTTAAAATTATTTTTTTTTTATCTTTTTATACATTTTAGATTTTGAATGGATCAAGAAATATATTGATTTTATCATGATATTTTATTTTATGTCACTTTTTTTTTTTTTTTGCAAAAGTTTGAACATTAAAAATTTAACCTACCTTATTCAAAATTTGATTCTTCTAAGCATCTTTAGGAGTATAAGCTAATACATACGACGTCTTTTACTCAGAATAATTTTTTTTCGAGATCAATGGTTCATTGGTTCCAAGTTTAAAAGACTAATATAGCATCTAATCTCGTTACGAATGCTTATATTTCATTCAACCTAGCCATTTTCGTCCTTTTTTTAAATAAAATATTTGTTGATACATACAACATACATAAATAATTATACATACAAACAATATGAGTACATTATATCATTGTTACATTAAATAAATGTTATACATTATGTACATAGTTGTTAATCGATAAACGAAATGCACTTTATTTATTCCTCCGGATAGCGGAACCTACAAATAGCGAAGAAAATTTCAGTGACCCGAATTGTCCGGTATTTAGAGGATTCACTGTAATATAATTCTACGTAGTATTTTCATTGTACGTTATTTTATTGGTCGTCCACGGTCACGTGGCGTTTCTCTGCCGTACGAGCAGCAATGCGGTTTTCACAAGGCTGGGTGCCTTCGTAAGTTAACAATCCACAAACGAAGTCAAAACGATAAGTCGGTATACTAATTATATTTAAACTACCGAAAAAGTTGTATAGTGTTTACAACTTTTAACTTTATTTGTTAGTCTTACGTGTAAGTACCCAACTTGTCAACTTCATGTTAATTTTATGATAATGTGTATGGACTTTTTTTTATTACAGTGGAATGATATTAAACCGTTTTGTAAAAAAAAATTTAAAAACATTTAATATCGATAATACATAATTACTATGCAATCCTTTTATCTACGGCTAAAAGCGTATTGGATGAAAAAAAACAACTACATTTATCTAGCTATTATACAACAATAATTTAATTATTATATTTCTTTTGTCGATTAGAAAAAGTCAAACACTTTTACAAGGTTAGAAATAAAACGTGTATCACTTTTAATTATAACTGCTTCCCTTACCTGGTACATAAATTTCACACACGAGTTGAAAAACAAATCAGTGAACTTGTCCAGCTTCGGCAGTTCGTTATTTATATACAAGTATTCAACACTCGTATTTCTGATCAAGAATCACACGTTGAAACACACAACATACGTATACACTCAACACATACACACCTCCACTACAGGGTCCTATTAATACTATTATTATTATTATTAAATAATATTTAATATCATATCGTCTTGTTACTGCATGTTATATTTTATTGTTCAATGAACACTCGATAATTTCTGTGATATAACTGTATCATTCGGTAGTACAACGTTTCAAAACAATCATTTATCGCACTGACACAAATCAATATATATATTTAAATTAATTCATTCGACTAAAACAAAAATAAAAATCGTCCGTCAGTAAACACATTATCATTATATATGTTTGGTTATGATATAATTAGCTATGGTATATATGATATTGTACTTTTATCTTTTTCTTTTTTTCCTGTAAACGTTTATTGATGGCATCATCCGCGACCAAAGATAGTCCATATTAATTTTTGGTCGATATACTGTTCATGAAAGTACCATGTTATTATAATATTGTATACAACACGACAAATAAACTTAAATTATCCTTATATCGTCGTAATATATTTCGTCCGTAAATTAATACTCATTTCCGTCTATATGAGTACGTTGTACGCGATTTAATAATATATAAATATGTATATTATTTTTAAAGTATATACATCTTATATATTATAATTTACATGTATTATTACATTGTTATTATCCGTTGTTTTGTAATTTATTTTTCCTTGTTTTTTTTTCAATAATTTATTCATATGTATCTGTACGATATTTTATAAAAATATAATATATATTATGTGTACTGAATATTTTTTCACTATTTTTTTAATAGATTCCTTTTACAATGATCGAAGCACATTTATTAGAAACCGTAAGAAAAGAATTGATTGACTTATAACACTGATCAAAGATTTAACAAATAGTCAACGATGGTAACACTGTTTGTGATTGCGAACTTAAAATATAACTATAACTCATTTTGATACGTTGTAAATTGTGGTGAATAATTATTCAAAGTATCTGATCTAGTGATATTTTGCCATTCGCAACTCTATATCTAATACACTAAAGCGAATACTATATTATGCAATATATATATACCAAACAGTAATAATTATCATAAACAGTATCTTTATATCATTGCTTCATTAGAAATTTTTTTCCAGCTGGACCTCTAAGACACCTTCGATTTTCCATGCCCAATATATTACATAAGTTTTTCTGTAGTCAAATTAAAAAAATCGAGGATAATCACAATTCATAATTTTTTAGTATTTTTAAATCCTTCGACTAGAGTCTAATTTGAGTACACGCACTTGTTGATTGATTCCTTTGAGTGTTTAAGTAGGTATATCATGAAATCATCACTGCAATATAATCATTTCAACTTTACTTATAAAACATTTATTGGGTACTCGTATAACGCAAAAATATTTACCTACATTGAAAATACCACAGTTTATGGTCTTATTTTTCGAGACTCACATCGTTCATCAACGAGAAAAAAAAATTCGTATACATATGCAAATATAACTTCCGATCTAAAAAAAATTGAATAAAATGAATCCCAGTTTAATAAAATATCTTTTGAAAATCATACTTTTTTTTTTCACAGACTAAATGCGCACTTTCTTCAGATATACGATAAGATAACAAGTTCGTCGTAAAAATCTAGGTTTTCGATCGAGGCAGTATACTTATTACACAACCATTTGTTATGTTATACTTGTTTAGTTGAAAAATGTTAAATTTTTAGATATAAATATAAATATAAAAGCCATTCAAACTATTAGTCTACGTGGTCATAATTTATTCTGAGTGTCGCACTCCTTAATTTCAAATCACAGACTCTCGTGAACGATATTTCGGGTTCGTATAAATTATATCAATTTTGTACATTCTACATATATGATACTTAAATATATACATATATATATATGCGCACACCACACACCGCAATACGTGCACATGTGACAACTGCCGTTATCAAAACGTTGTTAAGATAATGGTCACGTCTGTGGACAGTGATTAAATATAATTCGTGTGCTTTTACTGCCGAAAGGTAAACAGCGTCATATCCAGTGACATTTTTTTTCCTTAGTAAATTTGCTCCGGTCGTGCTATTCCTTATTAACAGGAAATGATGAATAGACGACGACCTCCTGGTAACGTTTATGCGTTAAATAATTGGAGGTTTTCGTGTTTTTTATCTGTTCAACCCCTAAAGTGTTATTATAAGCTATTTATTTTAGGTACAGGACATACATATAGGATATTATATGTAAAGAATACAGACAATATTTTTATTTTCTTTATTTCATTAGCAATTATATTTTCACCATATCGATAGATTGATGTATCAATATTCTTCTTCTTCTTCCTCAGCTTTAACTGTCCTTGAAGGACTTTCGCTGCCTCTATTAAATTTTTCCACCTATCTCTGTCAATACTGTCTTCTAAAGTTAATCCCTGGGCGCACTTGTTTATATCTTCATCAAATGGTATCCTAAAGAAAGTTCTGGAAGGAAAAATCAATGGAAAAAGACCAAGGGGTTGCCCTAGACAGCGCTGGATAGACAGGGTTAATGAAGATATAAACAAGTGCGCCCAGGGATTAACTTTAGAAGACAGTATTAACCCTGTCTATCCAGCGCTGTCTAGGGCAACCCCTTGGTCTTTTTCCATTGATTTTTCCTTCCAGAACTTTCTTTAGGATACCATTTGACCTCCATACATGGCCTGCCCACTCAATTCGTTTGCTCTTAAAGTACGCGTTGATACCGGGTTTTTGATAAATTTGTTGTACTTCTACATTAGTTCTTCTTCTGTATACTTCATTTTCTAGTATAAGTCCATAAATCCTACTAAGAACTCTTCTTTCACAGCAAGCCATTTTTTCCTCATCTCCTTTAGTATTCGACCATGTTTCACATGCAAATGTTAGAACTGGCCGTAGGAAACTTAAGTACAGGCGTTCCTTTGATCGTCTAGAGAGGAGCTTTAACTTGAACAATTTTTCCAAAGCGTAGTAACCCTTATTAGCGGCTGATATCCTAATTTTAATTTCATTATGCATGTTATTGTTTTGATTTATGTTTGCCCCAAAATATTTGAAGTTTTCCACTAGTTGGAAGGTATAGTTTTCTACTACTAGGTCCAAGATATCCCTTGTTTCTCTAGTCATGACTAGATATTTGGTTTTATCCTGATTTACTTCTAGACCCATTGGCTTCGCTGCTTTTAACAAATCATTAGTTCTCATCGCTACATCTAGTCGCGTATTGCCTATTATAACTACATCATCTGCATCTGCATGTATCAATATTACAACTTACTATTATGAAAACAATTGTTTCGGATGTCACACTTTCAAGAATGAAACGTTTCAGAAAATTCGTATATGGTTAGTGAATTCATTGAAAAATGAACCGTTTTTTATTCCAAAATAACTATTTTAACTCACATTATAATAAATATAATGGTAAGTATCTATCTAATATTGATGAATTCAGTTTCTTAGTTTTGAATGTTAAAAACATAAGCCAATTCGTACTTAATTGATTGAACACAACGGAGATTGTAAATTACGAGTAAATCATTAAAATATGTAATGTTAGTAATTATGTATATCTATATTATCTAAATAAGAAATTTTCATTTCTTCTATTACTGGAAAAAAAATAAAAATGTCTTATACGTATTCTATTATTATATTCATACTAGAAAAATGGAAACCGATAATTTTTCAATTTTTCATTAATGTAATGT